GAGTAAGTCAGAGTTCATATGCAGCGATTCTTGCGTGTCTTGCTTTATGTGTTGGAATTCTTGACTTCATGTGCCAATTCTGGCTGAATTTATAGCAATTCTGAGTTTATATCTAAAAATTCTGACTTTGTTGCAGTTCTGAGATGAAGTAGCAATTCTTGTTTTATTTGTTGAAATTTTGTGTTCATATCTAGCAATTCAGACTTCATTTCTCGCTTTCTGGGTTCATGTTGCAGTTTTTGTTTTTAGTTGCAATTCTTGAGTTCATGTAGCAATTCTGACTTGATTTGTAGCAATCCTGAGTTCATGTAGCAATTCTAAGCTTATAACTTGCCAACACAATTTCACGGCAATTCGTAACTTTTTGATTTAGTGGCTAATTCGTATGAATTCGTATGACCTAATTCGTACAATTTAGTGTGATTTGCTCATCCCCCAATGACGGTTGGGTTTAGGGGTGGGGTTAGGTGCCACGCCTCCTTTTTAAAATCGTACAATTTCGTACGACTGAACTCGAATTAGCCACTAAACTGGCAAAACGTAAAATACTTACGTTTTCTCGTGAGATCAGGCTGAACTTGCAGTTCCAACTTTGTTGCAGTTCTGAGATTAAGTACCAATTTTTGCAGTTCTGAATTGATGCTGCAATTCTGATTTTGTGTAGTAATTCAAACTTACATTTTTGCAATTTTCGAGTTCATATGTAGCAAATCACATTTTATGTGTTGCAATTCTGACTTCATTTGTTGCAGTTCTGAGTTCATAGCAATTCTGACTTTATTTGTTGGAATTGTTAAGTTCCTGTAGCAATTCTGACTTTATTTGTTGGAATTGTTAAGTTCGTGTAACAATTCTGACTTTATTTGTTGGAATTGTTAAGTTCCTGTAGCAAATCTGACTTTATTTGTTGGAATTGTTAAGTTCGTGTAACAATTCTGACTTTATTTGTTGGAATTGTTAAGTTCGTGTAGCAATTCTGACTTTATTTGTTGGAATTGTTAAGTTCCTGTAGCAATTCTGACTTTATTTGTTGGAATTGTTAAGTTCCTGTAGCAATTCTGATTTATTTGTTGGAATTGTTAAGTTCCTGTAGCAATTCTGACTTTATTTGTTGGAATTGTTAAGTTCATGTAACAATTCTGACTTTATTTGTTGGAACTGTTAAGTTACTGTAGCAAATCTGACTTTATTTGCAATTCTGAATTTATATCTAGCAGTTGTTGATTTTATTTGTTGGAATTATAAGTATATATTTTGCAGTTCTGACTTTGTTGAAACTCTAAGGTTGTGTAGCAATTCAGACAATTAAAAAATGTAGAAAGTAGAAAGTATTTTGCTGCAATTCTGACTTCATTTGATGCATTCTGTTTTCATTTGATGCATTCTGTTTTCATGTAGCAGTTCTTGCTTTGTTGAAATATTTAAGTTCATGCAAATCAAAGTTCATGTGGCAGCAATTCCGATATTATTTGTTGGAATTCTTGAGTTGTAGCAGTTCTTGCTTTTATTTGTTTAAATTTTGATTTATATATAGCAGTTCAGACTTTGTTGCATTTTAGACCTGAAACTTTTCCAATTCTGAGTTCATAAGTTGCAGCAAGTAAAAGTTTTTTGTTACATTTCTGAGTTTATGTATAGCAATTCTGACTTTATTTGTTGCAATTCTGAGTTTATATATAGCAAGTTGGATTTAATAACAATTTTGAGCTTATTTTGGTGTCTTTTCTCAAAAATGCAACTCTTCTTTGCATGTTATTGGCTTCCTTGCACATGTCTTTCTCTCTGTTGTTTGTGACACAGTAGATTTATATCAATCGCCTTGAATTTTAAACATACAAACAAATTCGGCTTCAAATCGTGTGGATTCAAATGCTCCGAATGCCTTTGATCCACTGAAACCCATTGCATTTGGCACTGCTGACCTAAATAACAGTGACCTACAAATGCATTTCCACCACAAGAGGGCGGTTTGTCTCCCGTGATACCTGATTCCTGGGTGCATCTGAGGCCAAGTTTCATCTGAGATGCAAATCTTTCAGGAAAACACATGCACGCAGTTATGGTTCGGGTCTGAAGTCCCGCTGCCCGACCGCCTCACCACAACACACGCCGGTCCAGATTCCCAGAGCTCTTCAGATCAAACAAAGACAAACGGCGCAGGCTGGAGTCTGTTTGACTCAAACTTCCCCTGCACCAATCAGTGGCTAAATTACACCGCGCTGGATCCAAACAGAAGCAAACAAAAGAAAAACAGGGCTGATTGGCTGAGGTGGAATGTGAGGTTTGAGGCATTTCAGACTGCGCTTGAGCTGCAGGTGATGCTGCATTCACAAGAAAAGAAAGAGCTCCGCTTTGTTGTTTCAACATCAACTCGGTCACAGTTTACGGTTTTATTTATGACGGCCATAACTCAGGATACGTGGCCACATTTGGCTCAAGAATAAAGCTGGAGATATCTGTGAGTTATGAAAGACAATAGAGATTTGAATATCAGATGTTCAAAGGTCTACATGCAAATGATTAGGATTCCATGCTGGACAAATGAGCATATACTGTAGTTTCGATGGAGACTTTGGAGTGGAGTGCACATGCTGTAGACATGATGATCTGAGGAAAACAACATTATATTGTGTATGAAAAAATATTTAATGATATTATATTAACATGGGGCATATGTGTAGCACATAGCACATAGTGTGTAGCACAATCGCCTCACAGCAACAAGCTTGCTGGTTTGAAACATGGCTGGGTCAGTTGGCTGTTCTGTGTGGAGTGGCATTGGTTTCCTCCAGGTGCTCCGGTTTTCCCCACAGTCCAAACCCATGTGCTAAGGGTGAATTGGGTATGCTAAATTGTCTGCAGCGTGTGCAAGAGTGTGTGGGTGTTTCCCAGTGTCGGTTTGCTGCTGGAAGGCCATCTGTTGCGTAAAACATATGCTGGATAAGTTGGTGGTTCCTTCCACTGAGCCTCCTTGTTGCCCTTTATTATCTTTAATGTGACATTCATTCATTTTCTTTTTCGGCTTAGTCCCTTTATTAATCAGGTGTCGCCACAGCAGAATGAACTATGCCAACTGACCCAGCCGAGGCTCGAACCAATGACCTTCTTGCTGTGAGGCAACAGGGCTACCCACTGCTAGTAGTCGATGTAGTAGATTAACTTTATTAATAAAAAATAAACAATAATTTAATTAAATAATAATAATGTATGTGTAGTTTTTTATGTAGCCAGTAGTGTAGTTTTATTAAGCATATCATTTAATGAGTAATGGAAATGTAGTATTTAAAAAAAAAAAAAATTGTGTAGTGTATTGAATGATATATATGTAAATTTTTAATATGTATATAGTTTTTATTTAACTTCTTGCATAATTTTATTTACAAAAAACTAACTGATACATTCCTAATTTAAATTAAGCAATTAACCTGTGCAAAGCTTTTAGTATATAATTATAATTTTTTTTTGTCATGGAATTTTTATTCTTGCAAATAGCATTTTACATTTTATAACGATCCACAAAACAATCCCCAAATAAAACAATCAACAACTACAAATGAATAAATAAATAAATAAAATAAACAAAATAATAATAAATAAAATAAAATACAAATACAGAAAAAAAAATTACAATAACAAACCATATACATACATACACATGTACCTTCACTCAATCCACATCTAAGGTTTTTAAGTGATTAAAGAATGCAATAAATTGTTGCCATTTTTCAAAAAAATGTTCTCCCCTACCTCTGATATTGTATTTAATTTTCTCAAGTTTTAAAAGAAGACCAAATCTTTGAGTCATAATGAAATAGAGGGGGGTTGTGGGGAGGTCCAAGACAAAAGTATTCTGCGCCTAGCGAGAAGAGATGCAAAAGCCACAATGTCAGCTTGTCTCCGGTTTAAAGGTTGACACTGAGAGGGAACATCAAAGATCGCGATTAGTATATAATTATTAAGAATAATTTTTATGAAAGAAAATAATGTCAACGGTAATGTAACGGTTGGGTTTAGGGGTGGGGTTAGGTGCCACGAATCCTTTTTAAAATCGTACAATTTTATATGACTGAACTCATACGAATTTGTAAGAATTTGCCACTAAATTGGCAAAACGTAAAATACTTACGTTTTTCTCGTAAGATAAGGCTGGTAGCTCAATGGTTAGCACTGTCAAAAATAATAATGTAGAGCTACTATCAGATTTGTTTTTATTCCTTTCAATAAAAAGAATATCAAGTGGTTAGCACTGTCACCTCACAGCAAGAAGGTCACTGGTTCGAGTCCTGGCTTGGTCAGTTGGCATTTCTGTGTGGAGTTTGCATGTTCTTCCCATGTTGCCGTGGGTTTCCTCCGGGTGCTCCGATTTCCCCCACAAGTCCGAACACATGCACTATTGGTGAATTGAATAAGCTAAATTGGCCATAGTGTATGAGTGTATATGGGTGTTTCCCAGTACTGGGTTATTGCAGCTGGAAGGGCATCCACTGTGTAAAACATATGCTGGATAGGTTGGCGGTTCATTTTACTGTGGCGAAGGAAGATGAATGGATGAATAATTACATGCAAGGCTTTTATATTTAAACAGTTCAGATGCAAAAACTTCTAGATGCCGTCTGAAATGTTCTCCTAAAATTAGAAATTTTCTCAACCTCCTTTTTTATGTTCAATTATTTCCCCCTAAAGGCAATAGAAAGAATGTATGCATCACTATAATTGTTAAATTACTGAGCCAACACACAAGAGTTGGAGAAAAATGCAAATATCAAATGGCTTTAAGAGGTTTTTGCAGCTAAACTCTTTATTTTGTAGCACACTTGGCCATTATATTCTCTGCATAAAGCGTCTGTGGGATTATTCATCTTAAAATGATTATTAATCATTCCATTTTACTTCTTCCAAAAAAGCAGAACCAGAAAATCAGCAAAAAATCTGAGTCAGACACATTTTAGTGAGAGAGAGAGAGAGAGAGAGCAGTGACTCCGCCCCCTCCGTCTTTATTCAGTGTTTCTGAGCCCGAAGGACAGAGAGAGAAAGAATCACAGATCAGGACAGAAGGAGGAGAGAAGAGACGAGACGGGCCGAACACACCGAATCATGGCCACAGCAGACACACAGAGTCCGCAGCACATCCATCCGTCCGATCCCCGCGCACCGAGCCTCACGTCACGGATCACCGGCACCGCAACCGAGCTCACTGACACCACGGCGGATCCGAGGCCAGAATGAGGGTGATTTACGTCCAGAACGCCGGCGTGGTCGCTGCTTTCTCGCCCGAGATTTTCTGCGGTAGATTGAAACAAAGGAATAACGGAGAAATCATGACCGAACGCGCCACGGGAAAGAGAACACGTCATAACGGAGTAGGATACGTCATAATGGAATAGAACGCGTCATAATAGAATAGCGCACAATAGAATACGTCGTCGTTCTTATTGTGAATGATACATTGTAGCAGTTTAATAAGTGTCACATGGCACGTGTTTAATAGTTTTCTTTTTTAACGATATGCCTTTTAGTCCGTTTATATCCCCGTTTCATAATTAGACCGCGGGATTATTATTATTTCGTTTCTCTTGTAGATATAGCCGGCTATAGGTAGGATAGATAGACATCTCATTAAAATATGAGTCAATATTGACAATCATAAATAAGTTAACCTAATTAAACATTTTACATTGTAATTTATTTATTTATTTAATATGCTGATTAGCTATACCGATTAGGTGTTGTATTATCAATATTTCAAAGCATTTAGTGGAGATATTTAAACATAGAGGGCGGGGGGGTTTAAATATCGTCCTCCCGCATGATGGAGACACAGAGGCCAGGTGACCCGTCGGGCCCCTCAGTGGTGCATGTGGCAGAGGCTCCTGGGGGCCCCGGCGAGGTCAAGCGCAGCAACTCTGGTGTGAAGAAACATCATCACAAACACAACCTGAAGCATCGATATGAGCTGCTGGAGACCCTGGGGAGAGGAACTTATGGCAAAGTCAGGAAGGCCATTGAACGCCATTCTGGAAGAGAGGTAAGAACTTCAAGCATCTGCTAAATCATTTGAATGTAATGGTTATACATCTCTACTGTTATCAAAAAGGTTATTGGTTCAATTCCTGCAAGATGCTTCACCTTGTGGGGTTTAGCATGGTACGGTGATGGTATCAAATTCTAAAGCCATGCATTCCTTTGAGATACATCATTGTTGTTGAAAGGTTGTAGGTTTAATCCCTTACCCTGATACTTGGCCTCTAGTTTTGGTTTTATATATACATGTATACAATTGGCGTTGAAAAGGGTGTAGGATCAATCCCTGGGATATTCTTGACCTGTAGTACTTTGGTTTTTCCATGGTGATTTCATGATTCCTTGATATGTTCCAGTGGTTTCAACTTTCAAATAATTTGGGAAACGAATGTGCAGCTAACATACACTTGGTCCGGCAGTAGTTTGTCGTTTAGGGTGTCAGCTCGGCTATAATAATCCGTTGTTGTGTTTGGCTCACTTCGGTTTGTCTCATGGGAATTCCACCCCACGCGTGTGCACCGCACGCGTTCAGTTGTGCAAGAACAGATGTTTTAAATCTCATGTCAAGTTGCTCTAATGGCCCCCCAATGAAACGCATCATGCTTCAACCAATTGCCCTTTTTCTGTAGGCATTTGGGTTCAAAGGTCACCGCTGACCGCTCGCCATAAATAATAATGTGCGAGAGCCATTTGTGGTAAAGTCCTTGAGTTCTGACCCTCGGGTCGCTAATGAACTCTGACCTAGATTGCAAGTTCTTTTGTGGCCATTTAGGTCAGACTGGGCTTTAGTGCTCGTTGATTCATTAATCAAACGTCCCTGATTCATTCGCCACGGCACGCGGCTTTGGTTGTTGTTTAACACTGTCCTCTAAACGACAGCTCAGTCACAGCACGACTTGGGAGCAGCTGCTAAGAGCAATGATCTTTGCTTTATGCTAAAGTTCACCCAAAAGGGAAAATTCCAACACATTTACACAACCTCTCATTTAAAAAAAATATGCTGGGATTATCTTTGAAACAGTTTTTCATTCATAAATTGTTGGTAAATTTCACAAATAATTACTTAAATGCATTGCAAATGTAAATGTAATTGATTTTATTGTATGATTTATTCTTCTTTTAGGGGAAAAAGGGTATTTTTGGTCCAAACTTTTTGGTCCATTCGGTGAATACATTTATTCATTTGCCAGATGCTTCTCCACAAAGTGACTTGCTTCGTTTTCAAGTTGCACATTTGTTCAGTGGGAATCAAACCCAGAACTTTGGTGTGCCATGCGCGACTGTTTAATCTAAAAGAAGAAATCCAGTAGTAAGTCCAGCTTTGGTATTCAAAATATCTTGTGGTCAACACAAACCATGTAATTATTGCTGGTTTAGAGTACATACAATTAGCATCCTTTTGATTTGAGGGAACATTTCCATGACAACTAGGGCTGAACATTATATCGTTTGAGCATTGATATTGAAATGTACGTATATAAAGTAGTCACATCGCAGGATTAGATTATTTATTAAATATTAAAAAGATATTATTTTATAATATTGTATAAAATGATTTCTACATCTCGCCTCAGAGCAAGAAGATCGCTGGTTCTAGCCTCAGCTGGGTCAGTTGGCATTTCTGTGTGGAGTTTGCATGTTCTCCCCACTCTGGGTGCTCCGGTTTTCCCCACAGTCCAAAGACATGTGGTATAGGTGATTTGGGTAAGCTAAATTGTCCGAAGTGTATGTGTGAATAAGAATGTAAGGGTGTTTCCCAGAGATAGGTTGCAGCTGGAAGGGCATCCGCTGTGTACAACATATGCTAGATAAGTTGGCAGTTCATTCCGCTGTGGCGACCACAGATAAATAAAGGGACTAAACCAAAATAAAAATGAATGAGTGAATGATTTATATAATGATGACCATGTTATTTTACGTTGGCTTTTTACATTGTTGTATTTGGAGACTCCTAAGACTCCACAGAAAAACTGCCCTGTCATATGATTGTAATTTATTATATATTTTGTAGACGCACTTCATAAAAAAAAAGACTTGATCATTTCAGTAGATCTTTATTATTCAAATCTTTTTACATAGAGCTATTCTATTAGATCATATCTAAATATATATCGCAGCAAAAAAAAATATTGTAATGTCAGATTTTTCCAAGATCGTGCAGTCCTAATGACAACTAGAAATACAAAGTTTTTTTGTTTTTAAGTTGTTGAATGAAGATAGCCATGTAAAAATGATGATTCACACATGACAATTGCCTAAAAATGCTGTATTTTGCATTCCAGGTCAGTAGATGGCGCTACACACATAAGGTAGATGGCCAGCACACATAAGGTCCTGTAGTCTGCCACTGCTCTTTTATGTAAACAGAAGTTTTTTTTGTTTTTAGTTGGAAACAATGTCGCAATGACATGTAGCGCAAGCTCTGTTATTGGTCTGTTTGTTAGCGCTAACAAGTGTGGGCAGTGCTGAGAGCCGCAAGCCCGATGTAGCGAGTGTTTTACAAGTGTCGAGTCGTGTGAAAGAGCTCCAGATGGACACTGTTGTTTTGTGTTTTCCTTATGATTAAAGTCGTATGTCCGCCGGTTCCACCTCTGAACGAGCGAGTTTTAGCTACTTGTACATTAAGGTAGGAAAAACGAAACACCCACAAAGAGACTCGACACAGATGACAATAAAAACCTAGTGCTAGCTAGCATTTCAGAAGTGTTATTGCAGTGCAACACAAACAGCACACAGAAGTATAAATGCAAGACTTCATCTTTGGATGTGCCATGGGTCACGCCGATCACTCGACACTGAAGTATAAACCAACCTTGAGTATAGTTATATTTTGCTATTAGCATGTAGCTAATTCTGTGTGACCACCATTTGAAACACACTATTGTCTTTTTTAAATTCCCATGGCAACTATTTGTTGGTTATTGTTTTGGTTATGAGGAGATGTAAATAATTAAACTAAATGATATATACAGTTCAGTCTATTTCACAACACCTAGAGTCATGCAAACACACACGCAGGTCTGAGTGTATCGGTGGGCAGTGTGCCATCAGAGTGTTGGCAGGCTGCTGAAGAAAGTATGAGCGCATGCTAACAGACCTAAAAATAAAACAGCACACACACACACACTCATACATGTTTTTTCGTTTACCTCAAACCCCGATGCATGGTAAAACATAATTTGTCATGCGTGTTTGTGGGCCCATAAACATAAAGTCACTCAGGGAGACATACGGTGTTGTTTTTTGGCACCATTTTAGTGCGCTTGGCAGGAATTAGTCAGAGAAACTGTTAACCGGCCGGACGCACTGTCTGTAAAGAGTTATGGCACAGACATATAGATAACAGACATAGAAACCACTGATAACTGCCATGGAGACTAAACATTAGACATCACAGTCCTACACCTACATATAAAGAAAAATCGCACTGCAGTATTTTGATGCTTTTTTCTGATATTGTTTAAAGTCATATATCAATTCAAAATTGTGGACTGAAATGAAACCTAGCAATGTTTTTTTTTTTAAAGTGGTCAAAATTGCATTGAAATGTTACTTGATTATCTACGAATTTACCAAACTAGGACAATATTTTTATTTTTAATTAAAATGGCTCCAGTTTGGGCCAATAGAGCAAAAACCTCCTCAGAAGACAGGACTTCTGATCACCCTAGTTTTATTTAGTAGTTTTTGTTTACTTTTATTTCTAACTTTCTAATGCAGAACACAAAACATGCATTAGCGCCCTCTTGTGGCCTCACTAAGAATGCAACCTACACTTGTATGATCTTGCCAAGTACAATGCGCTCCTGAAACATCATTCTTGATCGAAAATGTAATCCATCCCTATTCCCTACCCCTAAACCCAACCATAACTGTAAATTAAAGCCAAATTCAGAGGGAAATAATAGTTGGATACCAATCATGTAGAAGTGCATAAACCTAATCATAAGTCTAAACTTAACATAAATGTTAACCGTATCCATTAATTTTAAATGGCTGATTTGAATGTTGTTCCAGGATCAACATAGATGGTAATCCAGAAACATGTGCTACTTGGTGAAATCCGCTTGGCATGCATACTTACGCATGAAAACACACCTACATACTTGAATGAGTTTATGATCACATTTTACAGCACATTTTAATTTGAGCATACTTGCCTAAAATTGCAACATTTAGTTATAGAATTTTTTTTAAGCGCATTAGAACACCTGCCAACTTATATTGATCTGCAGGAATTTCAGAATAACTCAATAAATTAATCTTTTTGCGTTTTATTAGCTTGCATTGTTTTAATTGCTATTGATCGCTATCACACAGGTGGAACGCTCTATTGACTTAAAAAGAGCTGCATTTAATGTGCGCTCACATACAGCAGTAGTGTTGTAATGAATGGCAATCTGAAACATGTCAGAGTGCACCGTTGCATTTAACCTTGCATGTTTTGCATTGCACTATAGATTTATCACTACATTGCATTGCACTACTATCTTTGCATGTCTAGATGCTTGCATGCTTGCGTTAAGCTAAATTCTTTTCTCATTGTGTTATGAACATTGTGAATAAAGCAACATTCAACCTAATTTATTATAATGAATTTTTTATTGGCTTGGATTAAGATAGTTTAGACATGATAAATTGCATTTGCGTACTACTGTACATTTTTGCAATATATTATACAAAAAAAAGCATGCACACACACGTTTTCACACATGTGTGCAAGGATTGTATTAAAAGCCTTTCTGTTTGTCAAATATCATCTAATGTTTTTATAACATCCAAGGAATTATAGCAGAAACATCAAAAATGTCCTACTTAAATCTAAAACAACTGTAATTTCCACTAAATCTTGTTGTTAGATATGAAAGATCAACCTCAGAGGAATAAAATATACTCTGGGCCATAAATAAGCAGCTCAGATTATATTCAACTCATTGGAAATGCGTGCCTCAAACGACACTTGCAGAACAGAAAATATGTTGCATTGTTACTTTTCGTTGCATG